TTGATTGTAAGGTTGTAAATTGTAAGGATAGTTTGGGGGAAGGGGAGTAAAAAAGTGTGGCTAGGAAAGGAAACTAGAAACGGAATCTGAAAGTGGTTGATGCAAGAATAAAATGATTAGAGGTGGAGCTTGATGCAGTTAGAGAGGATGGCCCTGGGAAATGGGTCAATGCTATGGGTCAATGCTACTCTCTCTAAATAAAAATTATTTCATTCTCTAATTTGTTTTTGATTTTAAATGAATTTTATTATGTAATTGTAAAGAAATTTTAGTTGTTATGTCTTTCGAGAAAATCTAATATATACATATATTTATCTTTTATGCTAAATGTAAGTTTTATAATTTATTTAATTTTTTCTGATCTAAAATGTTACTGATCAATGTAATGACATACATATGTATTAGTTAACGCTTGAAATAAAATATTAATGATAACATAATTAAAAAATAATTTTAGTGTAATTTAAATGAAAACAACTTATTCACATAATTTCAACTATTTTTTCTTTTAAATTTTAAAATTAGTACTTTAGTTTTTAAGATAAAATTTTAATTATTTATTTAAGGTCGTGCATAGCACGGGTTTTATACTAGTAATATATATAATAGATGCAGTAACATTTCATACTGTAAAAGTTCTTAAAATTAATTTAACAAATTAAAGGTTAAATTAATGCATCTTAAATTATTGTTACATTGATCAAATAAGCAATAAAAGTTTGGGTAATTTAAAATTTTTATTGAATTTGGAAATCTAATTTAATTTCCTTAGTATGTGTGTAATTTCCTTGCGTTATGAATAAATAAATAAAAAAAGGAAGGAAAAAAAAAGAAGAAGAAGAAGAGAGAAGAAGTTAAAATATTGATTAAACAATTAATAATTTCATTTAAGGTATAATAATCATTGGTTACATGACATGTGTTATTTTAGATTTTAAAAATTCAAAAAACCTAAGAAAATAGAGTTAGGATTTTAGAGTTTAAAGGCTTCATAATAAATTGCAATTATGTAAAGTATAACTATTATTATAGTATAAAATTATATTATGGAAGTCTTTGGCTCAATTTGTTTAGTTTTGAAAATCAATTTTGAAAGATAGTTTTTTAAAGGACAAATTACATATATCCCCCTTGAGGTTTAGCAAAATTACAGATACCCCATGAGGTTTGAGAAATTACAGATATCCCCTGAAGGTATTATTTGCATAACAAATTAGGAGGCAAATTGTTATGAAAATATAAATCTCAGAAAACAATTTGTTATGAAAATATAAACCTCAGGAGGTATCTGTAATTTCCGAAACCTCAGGAGATATCTGTAATTTAACTAAATCTCGAGGGAGGTATATGTAATTTGTCCTTTTTTAAAAGAGTTAGTAAAATTTCAAAATTTATTTGGTTATATATTTTAAAAATAGTTTTGGGATTATTTGTATTTTATTATTATTTTTTTTATAGTTAAATAAATGGGTATAAAAGAAAAATGATTGATTGATTGATGTGTAGAATGTAAGAGAATGGGAGAAGAAAGAGGAGAGAGAAATTTTGATTAATTGATGTGTAAAAAACAAAAAGAATGAGAGGGGAAAGAGAAATTTTTTTTAAACCAATTGGATTTTTCAATACAAAAGTTAATTTAAAAAGGAAACCAAACACTCTGGTTAATTATTACTTTTTAGATGGGATGGAAGTCTTTTGTTGAGAAAACATCATTAATATAAGGTAATGTAATGTAGTAAGGAAAGGGAAAATTACAATGCAGTGAGACCAAAAAAAAAAAAATTACAAAAACATGTGTGGTGTAAAAGATTTTGTGATGGGGTGCAACTCCCCATGTTTATGTAAAAAAACTTCTGTACCATTTTTTTTTTTGAACAAGAACTTCTGTACCATTGAGATGTTATAATTTGATATTTTACAATAACAGACTTATACTCTACTGGTACAAGTTATTTTGGTACAATTTCAATCAACTTTTCTTTCTATTTTTAGGTGGTGTTTGGATATATTTTTGTGAGAGATTATTTATTTATTTATTTTTGTCTTTTATTACCCTTTTAATTTTTTTTTTAAATTTGAATATTATTAAACAAATATAAAAAATTAAAAAATCGAAAACCTCAACTGCATGAGATGATCCAAAAATTAAAAAATCCAAAACCTCAATTGGATGAGATGATCCGGAACTTCAATTGGATAAAAAATCCAAAAATTTAAAAATTCAAAACCTCTTCAATTTTATAACCGTTGGATTAGATTATCTAACCGCTCAATTGGAGCTCTCAATTGGAGGACACCAACGACTCTTTAAGTATAACTTTTGTATGCATAATACATTCATTTGTAGGGCCTTTTTTTATTTAAAAAAAAATGCTATGCCTTCCATTTATTTGACACGTAACCATTAATACGACTTGAATTATACAAGTAATTAAATATTATTGGATATTTAAATATTGGAAAACCTTGGTACATATTATATGCACCCTATTACAAGTTGACATAATTTTATCATAAATTTTTTTGACATCAACCACAAAATGTGCAACCTTATCACAAATCGGTTATTGCCACAAAATTCTTTTTTTTTAGCAGTGTATTCATAAAAAATGTCACTAATTGTTAATTTTAGTGACAGTTTAAAAAATTCGTCATAGAAAAATATCATTCCTTGTCATTTTTAGTGACAGATTTAGAAAACTGTCACTGTTTGTTTTCTTTTAGTGACATTTAAAAAATATTAGTAATTGTTATTTTTTAGCAAAAGATTCATAAAATCGTCACAAGGTTTTTAAAGTCCAAATATTAGAACTTTTTGGTTATGTTTGATTCACAAGATTAATAGTAAAATATTAATAATCTTATCAAATTAGTGTGGTATTCAATATCCAATTGGATTAACAGGATAAATTATCCATTAGATTAATAATCTCACCCTACCCCATTACTAATAATCCTATAAATTTGTTAGATTAATTATCCATTGGATTAATAATCCTAAACCAAAATGTTAAAACAAACATAGGATAATTGAGCCCACAGATTAATAATTCAAATCCCATGCTCTAATCCATGCTCTAATCCATCCAATCAAACATACCCTTTGATCTATACAAACACTTATGATATTTAATTAATAGTGCACAGATTCTTATAATTGGACCTGTGAGTAATTAACAAAAAATGGTTTATGAAAGGTGTGCCATTGTGTAAAAGGATAGTGTTCGGTACTCCAAACCTACAAATAATATTTTCTTTGATAAAGTTTGCGACTGTGAGCCCAGTAGCATTCTTCAAAGGGATTGCCTCAACCCGTTTTGGGCTCACCTCCGTAGCCGTAAGGATTCATTTATACCCTTTGGATGGTGAAGAGATAGGCCTTATAAGGTCAAAAGCTTAAGTCTGAAATGGCCACGGTGTTTGGATGCTGTGCAGATCTACGACCGGCGCGTGGATCAAGTTTCCATGTTTCTAGCAATCTTATCTCAAAGCCACATGAAGACAAAATATTCCTGAGGGCGTGATGCGAAACATAGCCAAAGAAGTGAAAACATGCATGTCCGAGAAATTCAAAATTTTCCATATATGCAAAGGGAAAAATGTAAGAAGGGTTAGCTTGAGCCCACTAATTAATTGGGCTCAATCGAAGCCTAATCGAAAAGCCCGAAAATTGGTGAGCTTTGAGAAATTATTGCTAAATGGGTCAAGTGAATTCTATTGAACGAGCCCACAAGAAAATTAACAAATTGGGCCGAGGAGGATACATTTCAAGCATGTCTCTAAGAAAATCCAACAAGCCCATTCGAGGAAGTCCAAATCATACGAGTGTCCGAGGAGGTTAACTAGTGCTTTCAGAAGAGATGAAACCCTTGAAGAAGATTCATTCTTCGAGGTATTTGCTTAGTCTTGAAACGGTTCGGAACCACAAACCTAGAAATCTAATTGAGCTCGGACTTAAAAGGGTTCAGATCCACGAACCTAAAAATCCGAAACGCTTGGCTTCAAAGGGATTCGGACGCAATCTAGAAGCTGCTCAATTAATGAGTCCTAGAACACTTGCACAGAAAATAGTTTACCTTCCATGATATTAAATGGCCCATGCAGTATGTCACGAATTGAGGCTAAGTCAGCTTAACTCACAAGTTTGCAAGAAAGAAAAGTAAGAATACAAAGAGAGCTTGAGAAAATGCGTTTGTATTCACTCAAGAGAATTTGTACAACTCTTGGATTGTGGATTGTAGTAAATGAACCCCTCTCCTATTTATAGGCAACTTAAACCTTCTCTAGAATATTTTTCATGGAAACTTTCCTTATTCCTACAAGAGGGTTCTATAATTCTCTATACAAATATTTTATACAAATATCTACCTCGTTCTAGAATTATGTACAAGAGGACTCTATTGCCTTCTCAAAATTTTCAGGAGCTTTTACAAGTTTCTAGTGCTTTCATCCTTCCCATCTTCATTTAAATGCTCTAAAACCAAATCTAGATCCTTTTAGGTACATTATAGAATTATGTATCATATTCTCACATTCACTGTTGAAAATTAGACTTTTAGTGACTTTTAAAAAACGCCGCTAATTTTTTTTGTAACGTTTAGTACCAAACGCCACAGATGCAGCCGTCACTGTAGCTTTACGACGCGTTAAAATTGTTGCTATATTAGTATAATGTGACATCATATTAATTGCCGCTAAATGTACTGCATAACAGTAAAATAACGTCACATCATATTTAACGACGTTTTAAAAACATCGTGATAGCTCTTTTTTGTTTTATAAATATAACCATTACACTACTATAGTGGCGTTTGAAAACGCCGTTATAGCTTCAATTTTTTTTTTTTTTTTTAAATTGTGCTACTTCTTTGAGATTTAACCAAAAAAAAAAATACTTGTAATAAAACTAAAAAATAGGAATAATATGGATAAAAGTTTGCTACTATTTCAATATATTGAGTAAATTTAGGCAAGCATTATATAATTATTCTAAACCAAAATAACAAACTCAACAAGACAAGCAAAAAAATATAATTTGAACAGAAGTTCCACATCAATTTTCTACAATCTTGGTTAGCACAATAATAAGCAAATAAAAATTTAACAATAAGAATGATGAAATGCTTGGGAGTTCACAAAGAAAATATCATCCAACAGGCCAAAATTCACAAAGGCAATATCTTGCTTGGGAGTTCTATGAGCGCTCCTCCACAGCTGATAATAAAGAAACAAAGAAAAAAGTCAACAGGTAGTTACATTCTGCATCATTGGCATTAATAAACAGAAAACTGGAAAACAAATTCTTCATCAATCAAAAGAGAAACAATACAAACATGCCAAAATGAGAGCTGTATTCATTGCTTCTTACCTTTCCACCCAAAACGAGCGGAGCAGATTCTTGCTTAGCCTACTAATGCAATCAATTAAACCACTTCTGCACCATATTAACTGTAAAAGAACATATAATAATAATACCAAAGTGAAGGTAAGAAGACAGCATAAGCAAAAGCTGTTTTCCATCAGTGGTATATTCCAATAACATCCAAAATCCCAAAACATACTTTCATAAGAAAGTCGATAAGAATTTTTTTTACCAATCCCAACAAAAAGCTCCTCCAAATCAAGAGAATAAATATGCAAATATGTCAAGATGCTTGGAAAAGAAAAATAGAAGAAAATATACACACGGGAGAGAGAGAGAGGGAGAGAGAGAGAGAGAGAGAGGGTACTTCGCCCCAAAGTGGCGAGTCCATAGAATGACAGTGGAAGGACCTAAGTATCCATCCAAAGTCATTAATTAATATCCAAAAACAAATCTCTCTGTGGAACTACTTATTGAGAGCTTATTTTTTCAAACGCGACCCAAACAAAAACTTCAAAAGCATGATATCATCATCAAGGCTTGAGAGCAAGGGCCAAATCACATCATGTCTTAATAGATTTAGAAAAGAAATTAAAAACTAGCGATGTAGTTAGTTCTTCTTGTTCTTCTTCTCCTCTTTCTTTGAAAGGTGAACCTACATTAATAAGAACAAGTATTTTAATTAATAAGGTCTTGTATTGTCAAAAAGGCTTTGATAAAATGATTGCTCACCTCTTGGGATGAAAATGTATGAAATTGTTGTTGATGTGGCATTGGCTGGGATGACTACTAAGTGATAAGTGGCATACATTCATAAGATTGTTGTTTGTGGTTGTGCTTTCACTACTATTATTAAAGAAGCTGCCATAGATTATTAGGTATGCTCTCTTCTTGGGGGAATGAAGAAGATCAGCAAGATTGTTGCAAATGGAGAGGAGTCCGTTGCAAATGGAGAGGAGTCCATTGCAACAACCACAGAGGTAAGATTAGTCCCTCATTGCTTAAATTGCAGCATTTAAAGTATTTAGATTTTATCTCTCTTATTTCAAATTAAAGTTTTTAAAGAAAAGCTTGAGCAAATTCAAAGAAAGCAATTGGGGGTGAGCAAGACAAAAAGGATAAAGAGGCAGAAGCTGTTTTAACCTGTTATCAGCTTTATGAAAGATGGAATATCAATTCAGAATACCATTAACAACTTGGAAAAACAAATTATCCACATAAAATATTTGCCAATTACAGGCCTAAATTTGGATTTAATTACTCGACACATCAGAACAAGGAAACAAAGTGAATATATATGAGAATCTTAAAATTCTGGTATCCTTTGCTATAACCACACATTATGCTTTTAATTATCCAAACTCAAATGTATATATTTGTGTTCATCTATATACATTTGATTCTACTGACCCTCTACCATCCACAGGAATAAAAGTAAAAAACCAGAAAAAGAACTCAACCAAAGCAAGATACAACAAATTATGCACCGTTGCATGATTACTTCAAACAAAAATCTATTGCCAGCCAAGTGGTTCATTTTTACTGACAGTGTGTTTCATCAGCCATTGATTAGTTCACTCTTGCATTTTGAATTCATTGCTTTCCAATTACTCCTATCATTCCACATTATTATTTATAACAGATATGGAATGTCGCTTTCTTATTCCAAGTGTATTCTACACGATGAAAGGACCCCATCTCTAGTAACAAAGAATGTGTAGAATACTAAAATCCTATTTTGAAAAGACCAAAAAAAAAAAAAAAAAAAAAAAAAAAAAAAAAAAAGAGTTTATGAGGTCATTGAATAATAAAAAAAGTTCACAAATAATAATTCAAATGGAAATGGCAACAAAACATAGTATTATGAACAAAGTTCACAATTAAGAACTTCTATGTGTACGTACAGCTAAACCATTTTAATACCTGTCATACAAACGAGCTGCAGCTTCTTGAGATCCAGCAGTCCCCAAGTGAATTTGTTTCTTGTCAACTTTTATGGCTGCCTGCCATTTCATATTCTTAAATTAGACACCTCTCATCAAACATGGTTCTTGGTTCTCAAAATGCTTTCTCCGATGTCGCTTTTTGCGTTTGACCTCTGGTACTGCAAAAAAAAAAAACAAGCATTAGTTTAAAGGTTAAAGGCATTGCTGACACAAGAAACCAGGTCCGCCCAGGAGAGGGATATATATGAGGATTGGCAATAGATAAATTTTGAGTTCAGTAACAAAATTTTGTAAAATGTGTATATAAAAGGAAAAACCTGGATATTGTTGATTATGCTGCTCTTTTGATGAGCTAGAACTAGATGCATTTGATGACCCAGGACTTACTTTGAAATGGTTTTCTGGGAAGCAAAAGCAGTACGTACAATATGAATACAAAGCTTGAAGTACAGGATAAAACATGTAAACAATCTCTAACTATCTATTTAGATAAAATCAATAAATAAAAAGCAATCAATTTGTGCTACTAATTTTATATCTCAAATGAACAGAGTCTATACACTTATCAGCATGACATCAAAATATTGAAAAGCACAATATAATGGTTTAGGAATTTTGAATTCATCTCTCTCTCTCTCTCTCTCTCTCACATCTAGTTTCACCACTTGAGGTTTCTATTTAGAACACCCTCCACAAATTCGATTCTCTCAAGGATTCCTTGAAGATTATCTACACAATAATTGGCCAATTAAAAATCTGAATGGCATATAACAAAATTTGTGCGCGCGCGCATGCGCGTGTGAGAGAGAGAGAGAGAGAGAGAGAGAGAGAGAGAGAGAAATTTTATACAAATTTGCAAAAGGAGCAAGAACTTACCCCCAATTGTACAATACATGGGCTGACATTTATGCATGTTCTTGAATCCACCATGCAATCAATAAAACTTGTCATAGTCAGATTTTTGAAAAGAATAATAATAATAAGAATAAGAATAATAATAATAATAATAATAATAATAATAATAATAATAATTGGAAAGAAGAAGCCAAAAAATAAAAATAAAAATATTCTTTAAGGTGCATATACAAGCCATTGGGCCATAAAGGTTCATCCATGTTAGAAGAGATAAAAGAAATAGGAATACCTCCAATGTGGTCAATAAGAGAAACACGGGTACCTATAAGGTTCATCTAAGATGCACTTTCGAACAAACCTTGAAATAGAACACTATTTCAACCTTGAAACAGGGGTACCTCCAATGTAACACTATTTCTTTTCCTACACATAATGTAACACTATTTCATTAACCACTGTAAGTAAACCTTAAAATTAGGCCATCATATTAGATCGTGGAGGATGGTGGAATTTACAAGTGCTCCCAAACTTGCATTGCCCAGTTCTCAAATAATATGCCCACCAATTTCATTCAGCTCAGAAAGCAGAGATGCAGGGGAGAATTCCTTTCCACTGACTGAAATAGGAAGCCCTGAAACCATCCCAATTTGTACATATCTACATGGGGGGAGGGGAAGAAGTAAATGCACAAATCAAGATTTGACTAAATTAAAGGAATTGAAATGCACATCAAACAAGCAAACTTACTCAGGTTGGTTGGGTGCATCTTCTGGCTCAATAGTCATCATGTACATGTCCTTGTTTGGCTCCTTTGTTGGATCTTCCAGGATGTCTCCCTTCATTGCCACACCACGACATGCACACACATGTAAGAGAGAGAGAGAGAGATTTATGAAGAGTTACAACAATATGTAGGATCTTAAATTCATCTTCTAAGGGAACAATTCTAAAAAGCTCAAATTAACTAGTCCCAAAAGTTTGACTGGGAAACGCATAGTCGACATCAAGCACTTGTATTACAGAACCCAACCAAGCAGGTGAAAATTAAGCATTTAATTCCAGATTATAAAAGACACCGTTGATCATACTGACACATCAATTTGAATACCTTTTTATATTTTTAATTTAAAATAAGACTAGATAGACTCCAATTTATTTCCCATCATTTACAATTCCAAATGAAGCCGTTTTAAAGGTTATAAACTGCACACTATTGACAATAAAAAATTAAGAGATTCATAGTGACAATCAAGAAGCATAAAGCCACAATCAGTCTTAGCACATGTCCTTATAAAGCAACTTGCAGACTTTACTCCAAATAATCACGAGTCACAAAACTATGTGCCTAAATGCAAGATAAACTGTAACTGAGTACAACAAAAATAAAAAATGAGAAGTTTCAATCTGTAGCATCCATCAAATTATAGGAAAACTACCAAACATTTTTTTTTTTTTAGTTTCAATCTTTCAAAATGAGAAGTTGCAAAAAGGTCAATTTATAGTATCAGCTAAATCATAATAATGAGAAGGTCAACTTCCAAGACTACTAGTACCGACCAATATCTAATTGCCATTTTTGTTGGATAGCAAAAGAACAGCTTTTGTCTATTGCAGTCGAGTCGAGTGCAAGTGTTTCTCGTAACATGATGTCTTTACATATATCATATGTTCCACTTAGTTATATATATATATATATATATATATAAAATACAGTGTAATGCCTTACTCTGATTTGCTTGTGTCACTAAAAAAAGGTCCAGTAAAATGCCAAGGGGACATTAATGGGATTAACTATACAGAGTAATGAAACCCATCTCCTTCAGGTAATGCCTCTCTGTTCACCAAATAATATTAGGACTGGAAACAAAGTACAAAATATGCAGATCAATTTAACTATGTGGCAACAGTCACTATAGCAGCCATCAAAATATGTTCTCAATTGGCCCGGTGCAAACACAAGCTTCTGGAAATTGTAATGGAAGTTGGAGAAGCATACCAAATCGACAACATTGCCAACACATTCTCCCTTCGCAGTAACATCCCCAATGTTTTCACCTTTGGCAAAGGCTTTGTATATTGGAGTGCGAGTTGCGGTTGATGTGACAGCACCAACATTCTGCAAGTGAAACAATATGAAAGTAAAGCAATAAAGCTAATTCATTACATAGATTAGCCGGAATTTATAAAATGGGAAGAAAATGAGAGACAGAGAAGGGTTGAACCTTGGCCACATTGGTAGCACAAGCCAAAGACAAAAAAAGGTGTGGCACAGCTGTAGTTGCCAACTCTACCCCAGCACCCAACTCCATTAGAAGATCACCTGCAAAACGAAGTTGAAGGGAGTCATGATTTTGAGCAAAGATTACTTGTTAGAAATCAGAACTAAATTAAGTGAAAATCAACCACAAGAATAACTATGATCTATATCTCTTCATCATTGAGCTTCTACTCACTGTTTCCAACGATCCACATCCAACGCCAATTGCTTGAGCCCTACTCAATGTAGCAAATCCATATCAGAAAACCCTAACCTTGAGCCCTAGACCGATTTAGATCATATGGATTCGAACTATCTGGAAGATATACGCTCCTGAAAACGCTAACCTTAAGCCCTAGATCTATTTAGATCATAGGGATTCGAACAATCTGGAAGATATACGCTCAAATGAAGAGCAGAACAAGATTTTTCAGATCAAACAACCGAAGAAATGATGGAGATCGAAGGTCTGATGCCTTAAAGATCCAAGACTCGATTTCTCTCTCTTCCTGAAGTTACGCATCTGTTTGATCAGAGTTGAAAACTTTTTGTTTTTATTTTTAAAAGAAATAACAAATAATTTAATAATCTTATTTTAACGGCACAGTGTTAACTCCACTTTTTTCTTACAACTGGCACACAAACAAGATGGTTTACGCTTGAGGGATTTAGAAAGGGAAAAAGAAAATGTATGTAAAATTATGTGAAATGTAGATATATTTTTTTCATATTTCACCTATCTTTTTCATTTCTCTTTCCGAATTCCTCCTCAAATTCCTCAACCAAACACAATATTAATTTACTTTTTTTGAGAATTTGAAAAATCGAGACAGATTTCACAACGTTTTTGAAAAACGCTGTAGAAAAAACGTCGCTATACTCTGTTTTTCTTGTAGTGATTCTCTCAATTCTTTCATGAGCTTTCGGAATATTTCATTAGCATCTATTCTTTGAGATTTTCTCTTGATAAGTGATTTTATCTAAGTAATTTGGAGACATGAGTTTACAAAATTATTTTAAAAGGATCCATCTAGTTGTCTAATTTTTTTTTTTTTTTTTTTTTAAAATATGAATAAAATTGAATACAATTGTTTTGACAATTTACTTTGTCTAAATAAATTCAAACCAAAACACAAATCAAGTGTCAAATAACAACTATGACTGACTTGATTTTGGTTAGTCCGATTTCATTTAGACTGTTTGACATGGATATGTAGGGCAACTCATTCCATTGGGTGTAGTCACAAAATCAAATAATTTCCAAATCAAATTTCAAAATTAAGAATTACGATTGACTTCGATTCCGACATAGATAGGGTAGGGTAGTGTTATTGTTAGTCATTTGTGTCGCTTACACACATCCCCAATCCATTGGGTCCCTAAGATTTTTTTAAATCTTTTTTTCCCAATCTTCCTGGGTTGTAAATTCAGTTGATGTATTTGCTATGATCATCTAGACAATCATTTCCCTTGAGAATGACACAATTTTATCCACTTGAGACTAGTGCAAACATAAGATTTATTGTTACGGGGAGCAGGCGTCAGAATTTGAATATCATCGACTATAAAAAGGAAAAAAATTATTGTGTTGTCTTAAACATGCTGTAAAAATTAATTGACTGGTAATTAAAAAGTTACGGTTTGTCTTCGTTAGAACGGGGTGTGGGGTGTGTGCTGTCATAGCACGCCGCTGTGACAATGCCACCGTTTCATTGCTTGTTAAAAAAAAAAAAAAATTTTGAAATGAAACAAAAATGCATGCAATTATGCTTCATTGGGTGTGTCCTGAGCCTATTTTAATGACTCGAATTGTTCATATTTGAACAAGGAGTGAAACGGTTACGATGCTGATGCTGTCGCACCCTGCATCTGTTAGAACGTTGGACAAGTTTTGATGCCAATGTTGAATTTTTTATATCCTTTCAACTATATTTAATTTATGGCTAAATTTTTCTTAGAACAACCTGAGTTTTTCACTCTAAGCCTTTATTGAGGATGGTCTTTCTTCCAGATTGGGATCCAACAAGGTATCTATTAATTTATTCACCACTAACAATTACATAATTTATGTATTTATTTTTTCAGGTGAAAATTAATAAGATCTTGTGATGATAAATGCATGGTAAAAAAAAAAAAACAATCACCTTTATTGAAGGTAAGATCCATGCAGATCAATACAATATACAGAAACCGATCAGGGAACTAGATATAGAACACTCACACTCACGGTAATGCCACAAATTTTGCAAAACCAACATATACATTCACACAAAACAAATACAAATACAAATCTGCTGCAGAGTTTGTCACCATTTGGACAAAAATACTAAAAATGAAAAAAGAAAAATACAAAACTTAGCTATTAGTTGATGCGATTACATTGTTTCCTGATTTCACCTGATTTGCCAGTAAGGACACCAATCTGACCCATCTTCACCATAGACTCTCCAAAGTCTTTCATGAAAATAGATCCCTTTGAGGCTGCCTGAAGTTGGATATAAGCTTTTGTAGTGCTGTCAGTGAGAAGAGCTGCGTCGGATTGGAATAGTCCTCTTCTTTTACCCACAAGAGTGTAGTAATTTGGCTCAAATTTGTGCGTACTTCTCGGGGAGAGATTAACAAATGTAGTTGTATCTGTTGGTTTGCATTTACTCTTCAAATGAGCTATGTAGTTCTGGTCCATTGTTGGGTCCGTGTCGCCTTTGCCAGTGAAATTGTATAAGCGATTTACAAAGCTAGGACAATGAGAAATTCCTATGGTGTGCCCTCCTGTGAGAGAAACAAAAGTGAATAAGTTTAGATTTTGGGGTGATTCTTACAAAATTTGCTATTTCATTTCGTCACTCAATGTTAACTGTTAGCAGCTTCTTCTTCTTTTCTTTTATTAATGTTTGATACTAGAAGTCATCATCAAAATTGTATTTTCTTCTAGCATAAGAATTCTAGCAAAAAAAATTCTATGAACTCAAAAAAAAAAAAAAAAAATCTAATAAAGTGCACAAAATATTTCTGGTGCAGATTTAAACTTTATATAGGGTGAGCCACACATTCACATCAAATTTGATCCACGTTTGGAATTCTGTTTTATTCACTATATGTAACATTTTTCTATCGAAAAATTTCCAAGTGCACATAATCTGATCATGAAAGTGGATTGTGATCGAAATTTGTGCACATAAAAGAGTTGTTCTTGTGTGGATCAAGTTCTAAAAATACCTGATAAAACTGCAAGGTCTTTAACACTTAAACCCTTTGAGGCGAATGATTGTTTTAGTTGAGTAATGTTAAAAGCAGGAGATGGTAGATTCTTAAAGGCGTCTGTAGCAATTGATATTCTTCCATCTCTTCGTCCTGTGGGGACTAACCAAGAGGGTCCATTGATCTGGAGAAAAAAATAAAATAATTTCATGTAGTAGTGAACCATTTGGCAGTTGATTCAAATGCTTTACGTTCCAAACAAATTGTTTGTCCTCATATCTTATCACTCATGACCACACGAACCAATTTTCTTTATTAAAAATTAACTCAAAATCAATTTGTGTGACTGTGACAAGGAGAAAAAAAACATTTTGAGGACAGAGAATCTTGTGCCTTGATTCATAGTTAGTAGTTTAAGAAAGGACATTTTGTTACCACAGAAACTGCATCTCGAGCTACAAGCGCTAAAATATCTGCACAGGAAACGATTCCAGGACACTTCTTCTCTACTGCAGTTTTCACAGCATCGACAACTTGGAATCCTCTTAGGCTTAGGTTGGGGAATGCATCTTTCTCAGCTTGGTTTTTCTTGGTAGAGTTCAACAGCACAGAACCCTCACATCCCTACAAAATAGAAGTAATTGTTACATCCAAGATCCTTAAATTGTCCATCGACAAAATTGCATTTATTACTGGATAGTAATTGTTATGTTTTGTCCATCCTTGACTATATTAAACCATACAACCTTTTAGTAGCAGCGTTACTCATGAAGATTGCTAAGTTGGTGGAGGATATTCTATTATGCTAGAATGTAAATAATGATAAAACATATCAAAACTTGTCTAAATTCATGCACGTAATTTTTTTTTTAAAATCGTTTATAATTGAAGTGGTAAATATTGCTTAAATTAAAACATAGATGGATATTGCAATTATGACATAAGAAGGAATGAAATTGCCATTCTATCAAAACCATAGATTTCATAATAATTTTAGTCATGAAACTTTTAGTAGAAGTTACAAACACCTCTCCTTCTACCTCATAAATGGTAAATAGAAACTGTACTAAATATGAATGGATAAAGGAAAAAGAGATTTATAAAATAAAAAAGGATATAAACCGCTCCATAAGCTGCACCAAACAGCCCCAACATGAATGGATAAAGGAAAAAGAGAGAAGAAACTGTTTTGTCACGTGCACAGAAAAATACATGGAATAGAGACAAGTTCATTGTGGAGAAAAACAAAAAGGAAAAAAAAAAGAAAGAAAGAAGAGGCATGAAGTACATGCCTTAACAAAACAATCATGGAAATGCATTCTCAACAAAGGAGCTGCAAGAGTTGGTGCCCGAGAAATAAATTTTTTTGTTATCTCTTTGACAATATGCTCAGCCGAGGGGCATGATGTTTTGTAGAAGCCAAGTTTCAAGCCTTGTGCATTAGCAAGATCTAAGACAGAAAAAGCAAGCATCAAGTGAAGAAAGAAAGCTATGAGAAGCTTTGTGTTAGCCATTGCCTTTCAGAGAGAGAAGAAACTTGGGTTATGTGGTTTGAAATGCTAGGAAACACATCTCTGGATTTTAAAGGTAAGCTGAGGCCTCGGAATTTTCCATAAAAGAGCTGTCATATGGTTCATTATTTTGAATTGTCATATCCACACATCACAAGAAAGAATCTAATTACGTAGATTAATTTAACAGTCATGTTAGGTATCATGAAAAACCTTTCATGAAAATAATCATGAAAGGTTTGTGACCTTTGGATTACACTTAGAATGAAGCACCACACACTAATCAAGGTAATCCAATGATCATAATTCTTTCATGATCATTTTCATGAAAAAAATTTCATGATTCCTAACTTTTCTCTTAATTTAATAGTGTGGAAAAAAAGAGGGTAGGTTGATTTCTAATCATATTTGCTGAAGCTTTCAATGTGCATGGTTTTATTTATTTGTTTTTTTAATTTTATTTTTAACTTTACAGACTGGATTGCAAAAAATAAAGCTTCAACCAAATAGACCATTTTGTTAGAATAATCCTACATAACAAGTGGCAATTAATACCATTCAAGTTGCTCTTAAGATCATACTGAGTATAGATGTGACTCTTTTTGTTTTGTTTTGTTTTGTTTTTTTTTTCTTTTTTTGGTCTCCTGTAATTTAGTTTTCTTTTTTTTAAATGTATTTTGCTTTGAATTGACTCTTCTATGACAGTAGCTAAGATAGGACAGAAATAGAGAAAAGAAAACTGTATCAATCATCGACCTGCATTGAGAGTCTGTGATATTTTTCATCTTTTTAGTTGTAAAAAGTACCACTCATGATTCATATGATATTTTTCATCTTTTTCCTCACTCATGATTCATATGATATTATCAGGTGGGTAATGTAAAAGGTAAGCCTCTGAGAGGGAGATTTTATAATATGATTTTGGGTCGTGGTTGTAGCCAGGTAGGGATTGGATTAGGCGTGTGTTGGCTGAGCTAGGCTGGACCATTCTCAGGGAGGTTTGCTCGGATGAAGTCTAGACCCGATCTGGCCGAGATGATTCTCTGCTAGCCCGGTTTCCATTGGTCGCTTGTTTAGCACAACGAGTAAAGTTCTCCGTGGATCGGCTCAATCGAGCACGAGCTCGGCCATAGTGGAGGGCTACTGAGCTCGGTCGTAATAAAGCTCGGCGAGGGGCATTGTTTGTCTCGTAAAGTAGTGCGGTCACAAGAGGCTGGGTTAGTGCCACCGGGCTGCCTGTTCGCGCCCACGCCGTTTGGTGGTTTGATTAGGTGGTGTTTAGCTGAATTTGCGCTGACATGTGGGGGAACGTGATAGGAGAGCAGGTCCACATGTCATCGGGTGAATGGATGCAGAGGTGAGCGCAGAAAGTATATAAACATGACTGCGTCCCCCATGCTTGGATGGATCATCAATTGGTGAGAGAAACCCTAGCATTCAGTCCTCTTTTCTCTCTCTCTCTCTCTCTCTCTCTCTGAGTGTGTGCTAACTTGATCGTCGGAAGGGTTTTTCGGCAACACACCGCCGGGTAGCTCACCGCCGTTCTGTTCGCAGGTTAACCGGATCGAGGCGGAGCTCAGACACAAGGAGTACGGGCGGTATCAAATATCTAGTACTCCCCGTACAATTGGCGTCGTCTGTGGGAATTTGACAGACAAAATCTTGTCCTCCAAACTTCTTCGGTCATCTTTTATGGCGAACCACGACGACATTCCATTATTCGCCATCGACAGCATCACGCCATAGTCCTTTCGGTGCAGAGATGGCCTGTCCGTCATTCTGACAATGGCTAATTTGGAGACCTCCACATAAGGACTTTCCAAGGATGCCCGAGACAAGCGTGCAAGGAGTTTTGGGCGTTCTATCATTCCAAAAGAGTGTCGCCGACGGTGAGATTCACACACTCAACACTTGGAAGACAAGCTAAGAGACCAAGATACCATCATCAAGAAAATGGCAACGGAGATGGAGGCCATGAGACGCCAGATGAAAGGAAAGGACATCGCTGGAGTGGGAAACCACAGTGAGCACGCCCATTCCCGCCGTTCCGGCAGTCTTAATAGATGTCGCACCCATTTACTCTCCGTCACGAGAAACTTCAGAGCTGGAGACTACGTTGCGACGGCGACGGTATCTCGCACGCAGGACAACAGTTACCACCCTTCACGCCTGATGACGACGTCGAGATATTCTCGCTCCGATCGTTCAAAAAACTTGAGGGATGTGTTGGAGGAGCGCACCCGCCGGCACGAGGCGTAAAGGGTGCCTGTACTGTAGCGGCTAGTCCCTAAATGGCAAGCCAGTGAAAAGGTCGCCATGCCACAACCACGCTTGGCGGCAAGCGCGCCACCAGACAGAGAGCTAGCAAGGCTGAGTGCCACCCATTTTTTCGTAAAGATCGAGAACACACCGCTCCCCTCCGAGTTCCATCAACCAAAGTTCATGCTCTATGATAGAAATATTGATCCATATATGCATATAAGCCACTTCCGGCAGGTTATGGCTGGGCACAGGCAAAACGATGCGCTCATGTGCCTTGTTATTCCATCAACTTTGGGCAAGTTGGGCCTAAAATAGGTCGAGAGACTGCCGAAGGAGAGCATCGAGGGGTGGTAACAGTTAGCAGAGGCATTTGTTACCAGATTTAAGACAAACGCCAAAACACCCAAGGAAATTGACCATCTCTTGAGAGTAAAGATGGAGCCAGACGACTCTTTGAAGGCGTATAACGGTAAGTATTGGGAGACTTTCAACGAGATCCTTAATTGCCCAAACAACCTTGCAATCACTCAATACAAGCGCACTCTTCTAGTTGGACATCGACTGAGAGACTCGCTCACAATGAATTAACCGTCAACCATAGAATTGCTTATGCAACACATTAATGAGCACATCCGAGTCGAAGAAGATGTAGCCGCAGCTACTGTGATGGCAAGTCTGGTAGTAGAGAATAAGAGAGTAGTGCGAAAGGTTCACGCAGTCGGACAAGATGATGGCCATGCAAACCACCATGGAAGAGATATAAGGAGTTCGGTTTTTAGAAGACGTCTGTAAGAAGGATGAGGCAAAGGGGCATAAAACTCGCAAAATGTATATGGACGATCCATTTCCAGAAAATCGAACTCTGCCAATCTAAAATTTTGTTCTTAGTTCTATTTTTGTAACCTTTTTTCCATTGGTGCAATGAAACAAGTAGACCATTTTCCTGAAAATTATTGTATTTTTACCTTGCCAAGCGGATTTAGTGCGGTCCAAGGGGCAATTAACGATCATTTTGACGGAAAGATCAAAATTCCTTGTAGGGTGGATTTTGCTAGGCAAGAGGTTTGTTGATGGCTTTCATCAACTTTGGAATTCTTTGCTGGATGGATTTTGTTCAGCTAGAGGTTTATTGATGATTTTATCAACTGTGGAATTCCTTGTCGAATGGATTTTACTCGGCAAGAGGTTTGTTGATGGTTTTAATCAACTTTAGAATTCCTTGCCGAGCTGATTTTGCTTGCCAAGAAGAAAGTTGCCAAGCTAATTTTGCTCGCTAACTTTGAAATTCCTTGTCGAGCTGATATTGCTCACCAAGAAGCAAGTCGCGGAGCGGACATTGTTCGCCGACCTTGGAATTTCTTGCCGAGCTGATCTTGCTCGCCAAGAAACAAGTCGACGAGTTGACCTTGCTCGTCGATCATAGAGTTCCTTACCGAGCTGATCTTGTATACCAAGAAGCAAGTCGTCGAGGAGACCTTGCTTGTCGACCTTGGAGTTTCTTGCCGAGTTGATCTTGCTTGCCAAGAAGTAAGTCGCCGAGCTGATCTTGCTCGCCGACCTTGGAGTGCCTTACCAAGCTGATCTTGCTCGCCAAGAAACAACTCACCGAGCTAACCTTGCTCTTCGACCTTGGAGTTCCTTGCCAAGCTGATCTTGCTCGACAAGAAGCAAGTCGCGGAGCGGACATTGCTCACCGACCTTGGAGTTCCTTGCCGAGCTGATCTTACTCGCCAAGAAACAAGTCGCCGAGCGGACCTTGTTTGCCGACCTTTGAGTTCATTGCTGAGCTGATCTTGCTCGCCAAGAAGAAAGTTGCCGAGCTAACCTTGCTCGCCGACCTTGAAGTTCCTTGCCGAACTAATCTTGCTCGACAAGAAGCAAGTCGCTGAGCTGACCATGCTCGCCGACCATGGAGTTCTTTGCCGAGCTGATCTTGCTCGCCAAGAACCAAGTCACCGAGCTGACCTTGCTTGCCGACTTTGGAGTTCCTTGCTGAACTAATCTTTCTTGACAAGAAGCAAGTCGCAGAATGCACCTTGCTCGCCGACTTTGGAGTTTCTTGCAAAGCTGATCTTGCTCGCCAAGAAGGAAGTTGTCGAGTGGACCTTGCTCGTCGACCTTGGAGTTCTCTGCCGAGCTGATCATGCTCGCCGAGAACCAAGTTGCTGAGCTGACCTTACTCGCCGACCTTGGACTTCCTTGCCGAGTTGATCTTGCTCGCCAAGAAGCAAGTCGCCGAGCTGACCTAGCTTATCGACCTTGGAGTTAATTGCCGAGCTGATCTTGCTCGCCAAGAAGCAACTCGCCGAGCTGACCTTGCTTGCCGACCTTGGAGTTCCTTGTCAAGCTGATCTTGCTCGACAAGAAGCAAGTTGCGGTACGGACCTTGCTTGCTGACATTGGAGTTTCTTGCCGAGCTGATCTTACTGGCCAAGAAACAAGTCGTCGAGCTGACCTTGCTCGCCACCTTGGAGTTCCTTGCCGAACTAATCTTGTTCGCCGAGAATTAAGTCACCGAGCGGACCTTGCTCGTCGACCTTGGAGTTCTTTACCGAGCTGATCTTGCTCGCTAAGAAGTAACTCGCCGAGTTGACCTTGCTCGTCGACCTTAGAGTTCTTTGCCAAGTTGATCTTGCTCGACAAGAAGCAAGTAACGGAGCGGACCTTTCTCGCTGACCTTGGGGTTCCTTGCCGAGCTGATCTTGCTCGCCAAGAAGCAAGTCGCCGAGCGGACCTTGCTTGCCGACCTTGGAGTTCCTTGTCGAGCTGATCTTACTCGCCAAGAAGCAAGTCGCCGAACTGATCTTGCTCGCCAAGAAACAAGTCGTCGAGCAGACCTTGCTCGACAACCTTGGAGTTCCTTGCCGAGCTGATCTTGCTTG